ATCTCTGGAGGTCCCTTCCAACCCCCAACATGATTCCGTGGATCATGCCCACTGAATTGGTGAATTTGGTGACAGTGTGAGAGGAGAGGACCCAGGAGGGAGGGAACCTGCTCTGGCATGTTTCATCGTGCCTGGCACCTGCCTGTGCTGGCGGGAGAGAGGAATAGCACCAAGAGACGCTGCCCCGATGACCTCTGTGCTGGGGAAGGGAGGTGGTGTGGGCCTCATTCCTCTGGTGGCGGAGCACCGCGTGCCCCACTGCAGGTCCTCGGTGGATCCAGGCTGGGATTCCCCAACACCTGATCCCTGCAGGTGCCCTCGAACATGTGATCGCCCCACAAACGTTCCTGACTCCCCGGGGAGCCCTGAACCCTGGGAGCTGTGTGACCACGGGCTCCCCGGTGCCTGGGAAGGGGACACCCCATCCTTGTGGATCAGCAGCTTTGGTGGGAGATGAATGTTCCACCCTGCTCATTCCTTTCTCATGTGAAGTCTGCACCAGCCTCAGCAGCTTTCGGTGGATGCTGGGGCTGGGTGTGATTCCCCCCTTCTCCCGCCCCGGGTGCAGGTACCCCACCTTCGTGGATGCGCTGCGGGACCTGGACGATGCCCTCTCCATGTGTTTCCTCTTCTCCACCTTCCCCCGCACGGGCAAGTGCCACGTCCAGACCATCCAGCTCTGCCGGCGCTTGGCTGTGGAGTTCCTCAACTACGTCATCGCCTCCCGCTCCCTGCGCAAGGTGGGGTCCGGGGTCGTGACCCCCTACCCTGAGGGATCTGTGCAGAACTGGAGGGGGTGGGTTTGTACCCCACGAGAGCACCGCGTCGGCTGCGATGCTGCCCTGATGAACGTGCTGACAGGGGAAGGGTTAACGAGGACAAGGATGAGGAAGCCCCCGTGGCCTTCCTCTCCCCTGAGCCCTCGCTCTGTTCCCTGCCAGGTCTTCCTCTCCATCAAGGGCATCTACTACCAGGCCGAGGTGCTGGGGCAACCCGTCACCTGGATCACCCCGTACGCTTTCGCCCACGACGTGAGTACCTGAGGAGCCACGCGGGGCCTGCAGAGCTATTGCCTCGCTGCTGCCTCCCCTGAGGCTGGGGAAGGGTGGAGGAACTGTCCTAGGACAGATGAGGCTGGGGTGGAGAGAGCAGGGACACAACCCTCTTCCCCTCCCCGGGACAGCTGTACCAGTCTCCAGGATTCTTTACTTGCTGTTGTCGGTTATTACGATGTGACTTAGTCAGCAATTAAAGATTAACCTGTGGGAGTGAGGCTGGTGGCACGAAGGGAAAAGCCAAATCAGACCCCACGCCCTCACTCAGGGTGGTTTTGTCCAGCTCCAGGTGAGGTGAGGGGAGAGCTGTGGCTCTCACCATGCCCCTGCGCTGCACCTCGCCAGCGTCCTTGGTGGGAGTTCACCGTCATAGTGGTGCCATTTCTTTTTGCTCCCAGGGTTTCGCACCGTTGGGTCAAGGTTTAAGGCTTCATGGCCTTGACGTGGCTCGTGCTGGGGCTTATCTCCCCAGCCCATCCCATTGCTTTTTGCTCCCTCGATTTCTGGCTCTTGTGGGGCTGGCTGGGTCCTCACACCAGGTTCCGCTCCTTGCCCTGCTCATGTCCAGCTTTGCCTTGGCTCTGCTCTTCACCTGGAGGAGTCGAGTCCCTGCACCAAGCCACCGAGGTCCCCATCCGTGATGGGATGAGGTCCTCCAACTGAG